TTTTTTTCTTGTTTTCCTCCTCTAAAGGTAATGTGTGTCTTATGGCCCGGAGTGTCTTATAGACCAAAAAATACATATAAATTTACATATGATAGTTTTTAGTTCATAGTTTAAGCAATTGTAAGGCTACAAATTGTCTTTTTGAAAAAAATCAAAGTGTGTTTTATTAAGAGTGTCTATGCTTAATGCATAAAAATAGAACACTGACATTAATTCTGCTAATAGTGAAATACTGGAATTGAGAAATAAAAATTTAAGATCATAGGCAATTTATACTCCTAGTACTTAATACTTTTTAATAAGTTTATTTCAGATATTCTTAGTCTAGAAATGATCATAATGAACATACTTCAAAGACTGGTGGTTTATAGATTATATAGTTCAGCAATAATACAGTATGGCTAAGATGCTTAAAATAGTATGGTATACTCATGCAACATTGCCAAAATCTCCATTTATTTAAACCAACCCTACTCAAGAAAAAGATATGGTAGCTTCTTCAGAGGTTCTATGCTCCTGAGATTAGAAAATATTTCTCATAAATCAAAATTAATCTTCTGGTTAAATGAACAGGTAGTTAAACTACATTTATCTGGCGATATTACAACTCTAGTTGAACTTTACTTACAGAAATTCCTGGATTTGATAGTTCACAGAGTAGCTTTTTGGCATCTATTATGGCTTGATAGAGTCTCAAATGTTGACCATCACTTGCAACAAAGCAAGCACTTGGTGAATTACAGTATGCACCTAAAGACAAGTAGAAAAATACAATTCTTAATAAAAAGAATTCCAATATCTTCATCCTATGTTTTTAGATATAAAGAGCTTAATAAAAGCTATGTGGTTGTACATATCTGAACATCCTTCAGAAAGGCAGTTTCAAGGAATTGCTGACAGGTATTATGTAAGAATTTCCTGTAAATGTTGTACAATCATAGCACATTTTTTATAATATATACCAATTTTACTTACAAGGAAGAAAACATACCTAAGCAGTAACTAGGTATGAGGCAAGGTAACCATGCCACATTTGAAAAAGCAGATACGTGAAGAGAATTTATTCTTGCAAGCTCAGAAACTCCACCAGAAAAAGATAGTGGACCAACTGGATCAACTCTCCAGAGGATAAGTTCACTGTAAACAGCAGTAAGATCCTGAGATGTGCAGGCAGAACTTTTATTTTGATGTTCTGGAGATGTTTCTTCTATGCTATCAAGAACTGGAATCCTGACTGCATTGTGATGAGAGGTTGTGAGTAGCAATGGAAGTACTGAATGGCAAGCCAAGTCATTAAGATGGAAACGATGTCCACAGTATCGTGATTTGTGGCAAATACTGAGAACATTTGAAAAAGCAGATTCCTCTGCAAAGCTGACTAGCCACTGATTTAGAGATCCATCTGCATGCTTGGAAATCATCATAACATTTGGGGTGAAGATGCTTAGTTTTACATTGTTGGGCGATTTACTATGACCTGAAGAAATTAACATAGAGCAGGAACGACCAAGGCTAGATGGTTTTTGTTTGCCTTGCTGAAGAGCAAGGTCAACATTTTTTGTACAAGCATACATCACTATACTTCTGCAAAGTGAATTTGCATCACCAGTAGGAAAGGCAACAGGAATCCTTGAAACAAACGACACCTAAAAATATTTTTTTAAAAAGAGAGAAAAAGTTCAGAATCAAGTCAAGCTTCCAAAACGATTACATTTTTAAATACATTATACATGGAAATTTGTAGTACCTGTACTTGACGAAACATGCCTGGTTGGTATTCATCTAGCCAATCAACATGCCATACGAGCAATGATCCATCCATAGGATGAATACTAAATAGCATGTCTGCATTTTTATTCCATTCAGCTAGTTGTATTTCAATCTCATGATCAATAATAGCTGAAGACAAGAGAATGGAGCTTGAATTTGAAACAGGTTTTTCACCAGGAAATTCTTTCTGTTCTTGATTTTTTCTCTGTTCTTCTTTACTATCATCAGTTTCTAGTAGAATTATATAAAAAGTGAAGAAATCTATATATTAAAAATATACTTAAATTTTGATATAAGAATTTTTTTTTAGGAACTCCTCTGAATCAATCCTAGTGAAAGGCATCTCCATAGTTACACATAGTACAGGATTAAGACATTCTTCCTAAAATAACTATATAATTTTAAATGTTACATTTTATAAAATCCTTTGATAGGCTAGATCTATTTAACCAAAGAGCCAGCCATGCTATGTAGGAATTTGCCTTCTATTGACTATTTATTCATAACTACACTTGTTAAAAAATTCCACTTCTTCTAAGAACGGTCTCATTTGCTTTTACTATATGACCGGCATCATAACATTTTCAGGAGAGCCAAAAAATTTATTTTGGCCATCTTTACTTAACACAGCAAAAAAATTCTAATTTGGGGACCTCAAAAATATACTAACTTTCTTATTCTATTTATATTTTTATCTTTCTATTACATCTCACTTGTTACTGATCATAAAGTTTCATTGACACTCACACAGTACTTTACTAAATCAGTATGTTACTATTTTATGCATGAAATACTTCTATAATTTAGTCCAAGGACCTCCAAAGTTGGCAACTTCAAGACTTGTAGACCAACTCCCAGAATTCTCTAACCAGCATGGACTGCTGAGGAATTCTGGGAGTTGAAGTTCACAAATCTGCCAACCTTAAGATACGCCGATTTAGTCAATTCTTTTTAAGTATTGTATTCTTTAGTATTTCATCTATTTGTTAAATAGTCTGAACTATTTTATTTATTAACCTTCCAGAAAATTTGTTTTTTTTAGGGACCTTTGCAACCTTTTACTAATGCTGATCAATGATCTTAGAAAAACTACTACTATGCTAGATTATGTATTTATTTACAATAAATTTGTTTTTAATCTTTAAAGCTCTATATGACACAGAGACAGCTTATTTGTGGGTATGCTCCAGATCTCTACCATTAAATGTTGTCACTTGATGGGATCCTGGAGGCATGCATCCAAAGTAGCCACCCCAGTCCTTTAAAATAGCTTTCTACCTGATATGCAAAGGATTCCTAACCTTTAACTTTCTGGAAGGCTACGAAGATCTAGCTCTCTTCTCTCCCTCCCCCCGCCCCCAGCTCTAGCTTGGAGGGCATTTGATCTGGCACCTGATGGGAAGAATTCTTTTGTTTATATTAGTTTTTGTGAGATGCCTAGGATCACTATATAAGCATACCTAAAGTTCTATAAATAATTCATAAATGTTTATACTGCCTAGGTCACAAGACTATGTAAAACACAGGAAATATTTCCATATTCTAAAATAGCCAGTGTACGTGAATCAATTCATTATTCCATGCAGCCTGAAAAGAGTGAGAGAAGATAACAATATGCATTTTACCTTCATCAGATTTGAAAGTCATCTGATTAGGTTCTTCAGTGCTGACTTCTGAAGAAATATGCTCAAAATTTCTTCTAAACTGTTGTAAAAAAACTTCCATTGATAGGGTAAAATGCAATTCTTTATTATTTAGCCAGTGCACTACAAAAGGACCACTTTTTTCTTCACTTTCATTAAGACTCAGAGACATAATAGAAGGGAGCAAGGGAATGTCTACAAACAAAAATATACATTATATTCAGAAACATACATTTAAATTATTTTTACATTTTAGGCAGACTACTTTAGAAAGGGACATATAAAGAGATTACAGGACAGATAATTTTCTTTTCCAGCAGCAGGTACAAAGAAACTAATCAGTAATTTACCAGGACAATCTGCTTAGCAGAACTAAGTTGCCTCATTTTTTAATAAACAAGTAGCATATATAAAACATAATTTATTTTTAAAAATTAATTAGGACTAATGATGTTACAGATATTTGTTGGTGCAAAGTTCTACAGGGCTTTTAGAATTAAGCCAAACAATGTAACTTAAAAATGTACAATTTCATTTAGTATTTAGCAAAGAAACAATATGCTGATGTATTTACATCTAACTCATTTTGAGTGTGGTTACTGATTTTTAACAGACATTTGCTATAATGACTAATTAACACTAATTACCTTAAAAACAAATTGTCAGCATTTTTCATATGAAGCTGCATGAAGACTTATAACAAAAATTACTGAATGTTATGGCATCATTGCTACAAATCACATTTGTATTTATTAATTCCTCTTCGGGCAGCTTGCAACCCATGAAACTAAAAACATCCATAAAATTGCAATAAAAAATGCAAAATAAATGCTATCATAAATACGTTTAAAAACTTCTGATGCAGTAGAAAGAATTTTCAAAGCAACATTTTGAATTGTTTTACAACTTTAAAATTATATTCTCTTTTCAGCACAATTTTAGCATCTGTAAACATTATAGTATAATGTGCTTTATAGAGATAAATCTAAATTGAATCCACTTATCCTAGAATTAAGTTTGCTTATTCTTGATCACCTGTGGCTGGATTGATGCTGGCAGCAATGTGGAAATGGCAAAGTGCATTTGACTGCAATGGGCTGTTTCGATGAACTACATGAGGATCTTGCTGATGGGGCAAGTATCCAGTATGTGCAAGTGCTATTGATCTTCTTCTTCCTCGTCGGAAAGGTCTTAGATTTAACTGTTGAAGCCAAAAATATATTGTTCATATGACATAATGAAATACAGAAAAATATTTTCTACACATCTGTATAATTCTGAACAGAACATTCTGATTACATTTAAATAGGATTGGATAGTTACATTTCTTAAAAATACAGATAAAAACTCATTTTCAAACTAAATATTCAAATCAGGCCTTATCAATTATTAATATCTGGTAGATGTCACTTCGTACCTCTAAAGCATTTTTCATGCTTTCTTTGCTGGAAGCATTCCTCTTAAAATTATTTAATTTCACTGGCTCAGGCCAATAGTTATATCCACCTTCATATAAGAGGCTATCATTAGGCAACAGAGTTTCTGCCCAGAGGCGGCATATATTGTCTTTGCAGCAGGTCAGCAGTACATTGCACACAGCACCACTAGGAAAGAAAGCCAGGTTAAGCAAAAAGAAAATATAAATTTCAGAATGAGGATTTTTGAATCCTATTCAGCGTTATTGCAATACCACATACTTTGATTTCATATACATTGTTTTTGGCAACAGATGTTTAAAAATCTCATGGAAACTAGTGGTTTTTAATGCAGGATTGTAGTATTATTATATTTAATTTCAATTTTAATTATTATTATTATTGTTGTTGCTGCTGTTGTTGTTTTATTTGAGTTAACCTACCCATATGGATATATAAAATGATTTGCACACCATTCAATAGTGCCAATAAAAAGCTAAGAAGAAAAGAAAAACGACCAGATGAACAAGGATTGACACAAAATAAATGATTAGGAAGAAAACAATATCCTAATCAAGGAACTACTGGGGAAAGAACCATAACCGCAAGCTACTAAATATAGGCAGGGAGCAAATCTCACACTCACAGGCATTTCTGATATAATCCAGTCATATAATGAAACATCTGCAAGCAAACAACCAAGTTTGAAAAGCAAGCACTCCACAGTTCAACCCTGAACTATATATATTGTCTTCTATTGGAACCCTCTATTATATTCCTTACTAACTATCTTTTTAGAGAGTAGAACCTGTTAGGTAAATAAAACAAAAATCCTTCATTGTAAGAGAGCACAAAGTGAATTTTATGTTTTCTATAGCCAGTGTTATCTTCTATATTTGCAGAGTATATTTCCAATACCAGTGAAGACACTAATTCCAACCTTGTTTATTAAAATTATACAGGTAGTCCTCAACTTACAACTTACAAGAGTTACAAAGGTAACAGCTATTATGGACCTTGTGTGGCCTGAAACTCAACAGAAGTTGATTAAACCTTTGTTGGATGGAAAATGGAAATTAATTAAACCTTTCTTAGAGGAAAGCACTTCTTCATATGTAGGAAGCTCTGGAGTTATGCCTGGCATGTCTCTAGCTGGTCCTCCAAAGAAAGAAAAGGACTGGAGCTTCCACTCAGTCTGTATAGTATACAGTATACAAATACAGTAACTATCAGCAAAATTGCTTGGTGTCAACCAAGCAATTTTGCTGATAGTTACTGTATTTTTCGGACTATAAGATGCATCGGGACCATAAGACACACCTAGATTTAGAGGAAGAAAACAAGAAAAAAAAACTGTTGCTTCCACACGTCCCATTTTTGTCCTCCCTGGCGTCCAGAAGCACTGTAAGCCAAAAACATACCTGGATTTGGCCTCTGGAGGCCTCTGCGGGTCACATTTCCTTCCTAGCATCCAGAAGCACCCTGGAAGCCAAAAATGGGAACATTTTTAGCCTGCAAAGTGCTTCTGGACACCAGGAAGGGCAAAATGGCATCTGCTAAGGCCTCTGGGACACCCAGCCCAGAGACAAAAATGGGATTTAATTAGGGCAATCATCGGAACCCTGACAGGCCTCCCAGGCTTTGGGAGGCCAAAAATGGGCCTGTATTCGCTTATAAGATGCACAGTCATTTCCACCCATTTGGGAAGGGGGGAGTATATCTTATAGTCCCAAAAATACAATAAATTGAAGCAGCAAGCTTGTGGAGGACTCATCATAAGCCATGAGTTTAATAGTAGTAGTAATGATAACAATAACAATAATAATAATAAGCACCTTGGGTGCACTCCCAAAACCATTGGAGCACCACTTGAACACCATAGGCATTGACAAATTTGCCATCAGTCAATTGCAGAAGGCAGCTTTACTTGGAACAGCTTCCATGCTGCGGCGATATCTGTAACACCATCAAATATCCAGATTTGCCTATCTCAGTTCCTTGGTAAGGACTCGGTAGGTAGACAAAAATGCCAAACCCAGTTTGAACATCTGGCTGACTTTGCGATGAATACTAATAATAATAGGCACCTTGGGTGTAGTCCCAAAATACTGGAACACCACTTGGACACCATAAGCATTGAAAAATTTGCCATCAGTCAATTGAAGAAGGCAGCTTTACTTGGAGTTGTTAGAAAGAATATAAATTACAATATACAAACCATATACATGAAGATGTAAAGAAATCATAACTTTTATTTATTGAATGTTATTTATTTTGTAGATATTCCTACCGTGGCATGTAGTTGCTTGTCTTCCGCCATGAAAAACCATCAACGGACCGAGGATGAACCAGATAAATAAACGAGAAACTGAGTTCCTGCACTGTGGTTTCTGGTGTTGTTTGTTGTGATGCAATCACTGATTTCCAGCAATCAGTGTTATACCACACCTTTACAAGACAATCATCCTGTATAATAATGAATAAACCATAAATGTTTTTAATTTATGTAACTTCTGTAGGAGAGTTTTTTCAATTCTAACAGTCATAAATTCACTTTTCCACCTATTATTTTTAATAGCATGTACTAGCCTACATCCAACATTCCTACTTATGAAAGGAAAATGAAAAGAAATTACTTATATAAGTAATCCATGTTTAAAGATAGTAATTAAGACTTGAATTTCCATTGCTAAGCAATGCAACTGTAAGCACAACATCATGTAACCACATCCCTTAATCCCCCTTGCTCTTAAGTGAGGACTGTGGATTGTTAAGAAGTTTCTTGAACTTCCCACAACTAAAGTGAATGTACATGGGTATATATTGCATATATATGTATGTTATGCCTTTACACACACACACACAAATCTGATATGGTTGTTAATTGGTTTTTTTCGGCTACTTTATTGCTAACTAATGTTTAAATATATTAATACTAAAATAATTTTACCATTATTATTGCTATTACAAAACATTGATATTTTATACAAATAATTGATACAAACTGAAATGAAAAATGAAGTCTTTCATACCTTCCCTGCAGTAGCAAAAAATTCTCCATCTGGTGAAAACATCATTAGATGAACTTGAGAAGCAGTTCTATAAAAAGAAAGGGAAAGCATGGTAATTAACTGAGATTTCAAAAGCTTAATAATTTGTTGTGACAAGTTTGTTAGACATTTTTTGGATATAATAACTTTTCCAATCAAAATAAATACTGCTTCTGATTGGGGCATACTTAAATTTCAAATGAAATTGATCTACTTTAAAGAAATTTCTTTGATGTCTGAATAGCGGACAACAAAACTAGAGTTAACTAGTGTTCTAGCTTACCACATGGCCTTTTGACTCATCATGAGAACATCACAGATCAATCTATAATAAATTTCATCCATCCATATATCTTGAGTGCATATTGGCTTATTTTAGCAAACCAAAGACAGTTTACAGGTAGCCCTCATTTAGCAACAATTGGGACAGGCAGTTTAGTTGTTAAATAAAGTAGTTGTTAAGTGAAACTGTGACTATGCTTATGATCTTACTTCAGCTTTCTTATGCTTTATAGATTTGTGAGGATCATAAATGGAAGGATTGATTGTAAAGTTACTTTTTCATCACTATCTTTACTGTGAATGGTACCTAAACAAGGCAATTGCTAAATGAACATCACCTGAATTAAGTGGAGTCAGAGAGGGGTGAAAATATTTTTGTGATGAGGCACTGCTGCTACTATAAGGGAGGCAATTACCTGTACAATGCTGAAGATGGTCTCTCTTTAAACAGGTTTTGCAATCATCTCTCAGTAACAAAAGAACAGTTTTTAAAGAAAAAGTTCTTAAGAACAGTATATATACATTGGCAAACGTTCTTGGAAGATACAGATTATTTCCTAACTCCCTGCGACCTGTTTTGGCTGGCAGAGTGCTGCATTTCCAGCATTTCCTTCACCTTCTCTTAACAGCATCTACCAACCAGAACTAGATACTCTCCAAGATTGGGTTATTTCCCCCCCTCCCATATTTCCACCCAAATATTAACCAGCTTTAACTCTGCATAGCTTCTAAATTCCAATAAGGAGAACCAGATTCTAATCTTTGAACTACTGAGATAAGTTTTGTATCTAAACCTTGAGATTCTGCTTCGTGAGGCTGATCTAATTTTTCACATTTGATTCATTTAACATTTGTTCTTTTTTTTCTTCCAAGATGGCATCTAAACCATTTGGCAGCAGAATAATTACATAGTCATTATGTGTCAGTTGTGTCAAAACTGACTAAGCCCCAATACAGCAAGGTGTCTATATCATCTTTCAAATCATTTTCTAAATAGAAGCTCATTAGAAGATACATTAATTTTCACAACTCGTTTTGGCTGGCAGAGTGCTGCAGGAGGCAGCACCTTCTTCACCTTGTCTTTAGCAGCATCTGCCAACTAGAACTAGATACTCTCCAAGTTCTAGATGGCTGTTGTTCAGAAGAGCCAAAAATACCTGGCTCTTTACCTAGGTCTTTGATGAGAGACAGTGAGCCCCCTAGTATCACTGAGTTTGTCATATTTTATCTTAAATCTTTTATCTGTGATTGATTTGTGAATTTTTTTATTGTTGGGAGCCACCCAGGGTCATTGAGAATTGGGTGGTATATCAATTTTGTAAATTATTACTAATATTCCTTCTCTAGGGCTGTGTCAGCGGTAGTAACAAAGATTGATAGACTGTTGGACAGACAGTTTTTAGAGACGTTTGGAGAAATTGTCAGTTTATTTATGCTCTGCAGAAGAATCAAGCCCCATAGCAGCTGGGGACACTATATGTCTTTAATCTCTACATTATGGGATTGAGACTATTTATGCCAGAAAGTAAATCTTCCTTCGTCTGGAATAGCAGTTTTGAATGGAAAGGGAAAAAATGTATCTTGAGCCTGTGTCAAATGCCCATCAAGCCCACCACGGCCACGTCCCACGCCCACCCGCAGCCTTCTGAGGTCAAACACAACCCTAGCGGCCCTCAATGAAATAGAGTTTGATACCTCTGATACACTAAACTACAAATCAAGTTTAAAAACATGATTAAGGCAATATTAATATCTTACTTACTTGTTCTGCCAGATGATTCTCCATTTCTGAGGATCAGTTTTTTCACAATTTTCATCTTCTGCTAGATTTTCAAAACTGACATTAGACCAAAGCTGCAAACAACTGGAACTAGTCAATAGACGAGAACCTAGATTTTTCAAATTAAAAAGCACATATTTGTTTAGTTTTAATAGACCAGAAGCCACTATGGAATTAAAGATATTTAGATGAAAACTTTGAACTATGTTTTATAAAACTATGGAGAATACCATACTGTAGATGGAAGTTAGATAAACAGACATTTAAAAAAACCTAGCAAATGAACATCACTTTATAAATTATTCCTTTTGTCCGATGACAGTATTTGAATTGTAGACTGTAATCAGTTACATGAAATGGGAATGTGAATATCTACTTATATTGGTTACAATTTGGAAGAAAGTACAGCATTATAGTCTCCTCCCTGGGCTAGTGGGGAGCAGCAGGGGGGAGACAGGACAGATGTCTCCTGCAGCACTTTGTCAGCCAACAGGGTCTGTGAAGGCCCCACAAGGCCCCTGCAAAGCCTACTTTTGTCCTCCCTGGCCTCCAGCAGCACTATCCCGGCTGAAAACAGGCCTTTTTGCCAGGCAGAATGTTGCAGAAGGCTGGGGACGCCAAAAATGGGCTGTGTGGAGTCACATGTGGCCTCTCCGCGGCCCGTTTTGGCCAGCAGAGGCACTGCGCGCCAGATTTAAGCACCCTGGGGGCCAGATTTGGCCCACAGGCTTTGAGTTTGACACCCCTGATTTAGGGCATCTGAAAATGTACTGAAAAGTATTTAAAATAGAACTAGATCAGAGTGAAAACTAAGAAAAGAAGTATCCTTCCTTACCTGTGGGATCCCAGGTTAAATTGTGCACAACATGTTCCAAGCAAATCTGATCTGAATTCTGCCATTGATAAGATAATCCCTAAAATCACACAAAACACAATGTGAAATCCATAAATCTATGGTAGCATGTAATCAATTGAAACTATAAAAATTTGTAATAAATCTAACAGAAATAGTTTTATCAAACCAGATATTGATATGGCAAATAATTTTTTAAACATTTGTACATTTTTAAAACAAACATTTAGCATAAATGGAAATAAAATTATATATGTTTAGCTATTATTATAGAATGAAAAATACTAAGTTTAACAAGACAAAGTATACCATTCACGTAACAGTTATCACACAAAAAATTAATCTATTCCATGAAACAAATCTTATTAAGAGAAAAGTTTGATCATTATAATTCAATATATATTGATCCTAGGTCATATTGAATTAAATAAACTTTATTACATTATGAAGCATAAAAGGTTGTGCTGCAATGTTCCTTCTGCTTCACCATGTGTCATTTATTCATTTCAGCTGCACTTATTGAAATGCTTAAAAAAGAAGCTCGCATAAAGCATTTCATGGGAAATGATTGGAAAGATTCATCTTTAGCTCTTAGATGTTACTTTTCAGTGCATGTGACTTTGATTTCTTTTTTTCCCCTCTGAAGTATTCTAATTTTGTTTTAGTGTCTTCCAGGCAAACTCATTGAAACTCATCATGTGGACAATTAATTTTGAAATGTAATTGAAAATCAGTAATCAGTGTTGCACAATGAAAGACATTACAGTTAAATAAGTCAAATTTCCAGTGCTTTGTAATCCAAGATCATTTGTACTTTCAGGATACCTGAGATACTGGATGGAATGAATAAATAAATAAATGGCTAAAAAATTCAGTCACCTTAATATAAAAATAAAGCACTCAAACCAAATGTGACTTAAACTTTCCACTGCCTAGAGTGCTACTTGTAATCTGCCAGCTTAATCCTTTGATGAAAAACTATCTGGAAATTCCAGGATTGTAAGCAGAGAAGGAAAAAAAATGTCAAAACCAGCAGTGTATATCATACGGTAGTTATGAAAATTGTCCATGTGAAAATTACAAAATTTGTTTCTTTCAATATAGGTTTGCCTTTAAGTCTGAATAAAAACTTAATTTACACAACAAGCAACTGCTACACCTTTTCCTTTTCTAATAAAGTACTTTAAGAAAGCTGTCTTCTTTCAGGCACTTTACAAAAGTCTGGTGCTATTTCAACAGTTTCTATAATACTTTTTGTTTTGCCTAATAGTTCATAAAAATTTAAATCATGGGAGCTAAAACTAGCCTCAGGACTGAAAGCCATCAGTTGCTATTAAATAACAGTGCAAATGCTACATAAAACCAATCAAATAAATTGACCAAAACTCCATGTAAAAATTAACTTAAACTAAAGTCAACAATATAGCTTTCTCTCTGCAATTCTCTCTATTACAACGTTAGGAAAATTTGTGTAACTTAATAACCCACTCAAATTTTATTAGATTTCAGAAATAATCAAAGCAAATTATGTATATAATTAATTAATTAATATGACAGAAAAGATGAATCACTTACAGAATTATGATTCTTCTTCTGCTTTAGATGTTTGACTGGCTCAAAGATGCAAATTATATTTCCATAAGCAGCTGCAATCTAAAACAAATTGCAATTTAATCAGCAGTTTTTGTAATCTCTATTTCATAGAATTACAAGGCACAGAAGTTTATTCAACTATGTCCTGTTGGCTGAAAGAATATCAACCAATAAGAGAATTATTTATTTATTATATTTGTCAGGCAGTCTAACCCAAACAGTATGATTGTGAGTGGCATACAACATAAAGACAAACAATATACATCTATATCTATATTCCTAACTTATCTAGAACAGGTGTAAAATCAATACAAATATATTTCTTTATATACAGATATAACATATTTTATCTGAAATTTATCATATATGAGAAAAAAAGTAAAAATAGTTTAACAAGCATATTTAACATTACAGAAACATTTTTAGGAAATTGAAAAATATTTTAATATATTAATTTAAATAATAAAATCATCAGCATGAATTTCTTCAGCAGACTTTAATGCATAAATGAAGAAACAAAAGTCCTTCCATTTCACATCGTACACAACAATCTAATACGGCCAAAGATTCATGCTGATGCTTGAATTCGCTTCTGCTTTTGCTTGTAATTTATTTCACAGGCAGGTTTGATTAAAAAAAAAACTTCATATGCTATTTTGCAGAATGACTGGAAAATATAGTAAGATATATTCTAAAAATGAAATACAAGGAAAATGTGATTCTAAACTATTGATATACAACGTGACCTAAAATTTCTATCCAAATAACACAGAACCTAAAGTAAATACAATAAGCACAAAAGTACCATATACTGAAAGGAAAAACTGTAAACATCATACTATCAAGTAGGAAAACAACTTTTGAGAAATCTGAAATGAATCCAGTGATAACTAAATTACATTCAACCTATAGGGGAAAGAAACCACAAATCTTAAACTTCCATTTATGGGGACAACATTAAATAAAAAATAAAATTGATTAGTAAAATTAAATATCCTGTTTTTGAAGTATTAATATTGATACTGCTTGAAAAAATTAAAGCACTAAAATGTTTTTTAAAAAGCCAAATTAATACCAAATAATCTAAATATCAATGTTTGGTTTTGGCTTATGTTGTATGCACTCAGCCATTTTGGCTTACTCAAAAATCTTTGACTCAGTGTAATTTGAAAACTAAGATGGTGAAGCATTTTTTTTCCTTACTTTGCTTAATATGCATATAGGAATGCATTACATAATTATTAATTAATACATCTGAATCTAGAAATATAATTGAGTACTCAACAGCAAGAAATTGTTATCTATTAAGCATATTCATCCCTTTAGGTTTAATTAAGTATATATTTATGCCATTTTTATCTATTTAAGTATAGATCCATGTGAAAGACTCCCAATAGCAAGTACCTACCGAATTTGATATGTCATTATTATAATCATATTGTATAGGAAATTAGAATATAACCAAAATACCATTATTACTTACCTTCCCTTGCTGCATGGAACAATCTACACACCCCACTTGAATATTTCCATATTTTGCTCCAGGAATTATTTGTAACCTTTCAAAATCTGTCCCCAATATCACTATGTCACATCCTGATGCATAAGCCTACGGGGGAAGGGGAAAGGAAAATTGACTAAATAATTGTCCTTTATTTTTTGTTAAAAGCCCAAAGAAAGGAACAATATCTAGCGTCCATAACTCAGTCTACACATGTATTTTTAATTATGTCTATAATGCAAATGAATATTACCTTAATAATCCACCACTAACATAAATAAAAAAGGTTTTTCAGATGCTACGTGGATAGCCACGTTATAAGATATATTTCCTTCCAGAATACCTTTAATTTTTATGACTTTCATTAAGATATAATTACAAAGGACAAATGTACAATCTATGAACCATATAAACTTTTCTTATATGAAGTTCTCAAACTTGAGATAGAACTGTTTTATAAGAAATGCCTTCACATTGGAGATTTGATTCCATCAGGGAAGGAGGAACTATTTGAGCATATATTCTTGTGGCTTTTACAGATCACTTGATCATCAGGAGGCAGTGAATGATTAGTTTTGTCCTTATAAATGAAACTACATAACCCATGACGGATCATCATTTCAGAGATACATTCCTAAAAAGATTCCTAAGTGCCTTCAATAATGGCAATGCTTATAATATACTTGAAAAGTTCTTAAAAATTCAGGGAAGATATTTAGAGACGATCTACCTTGAAAGTAGCCCATGTTAAAGTATATAGCACAATCAAACATCAAAAGTTGACCACAGGAAAAGATTTATGACATTTTCTATTACATCAAAAATGGTTCTAAGATAATTTTATGTTATAAAATGCTTTATAAACTTTGCCAAATTTGAATTCCACAGGAGTCATGGGTCCCGGATTTTGTAAATTAGCCCATTTGATACTTTGGTTCAAAACGTTTTGCCCTATGATTTACTCTAGTTCAGTTAAAGGTTACAGACACAACAATTTTATTAGTATATACACATTGCATATACCTACACGCATATATTTATACAAATAATGTACACACATATATAAATTATAAGTGTAAAGACATTCCAAATAAATTTCATGACAGAGATGTCATATAATACGTTCTACATTTTCCTAAATATTCCTATTTGCTAGTCGAAGAAGCCATTGGATCCGACCACTTAACAAGAAAGAGAGAAAGAAACATCAAACTATTTTCTACTACACTTAAAAAACACTACATTTAAAAAACACATTCTATACTTCAACAACATTATATAAATTGAGTACATGTAAAGTTACTTTATTCATCTTATTATGATCAAAAAAATACAATTTTTTTTTTTACAAAAACTACAATTCAAAATCCTTTAAAATAGATTTGGGCTTAATATAAATACTTGAATTAGATAAATTGATATATTTATATTCCTACTTTGCAACAAATGTGTGTCTCAGGAAAGACTATGTACAGATTTGATAAACAATGATTTAGAAAAACTTAGACTCCTGTTTTCTTGTCTTAGTCCAGGGATCTGCAACCTTAAACACTCAAAGGAGTCACAAAACCTGGATGGGTGTGGCCCATTCAACATCACTCCCACGCAGTCACATTACTCCCCCCAAGCCACGCTTACCCAGGCTCCCAGAGTTTTCTGTGTGAAATGGGTCTTTCTCTCTCTCTCCCCCTCCCTCCCATTCCTGTTTTTCTCTCTTTTTGCTCTCCCTCTCCCTTTTCTTTTTCCTTTCTTTCCTTCCCTTTCCCTCTTTCTCATTGAATATGATAGCAAATCCAAAAAAAAATTATTAATTGTGGGAAACTGCTTCTCTGTAATCTTTTCATAGTGAACTCTAAGTTGATAGAAACTGGCAAGATTGTACTAACAGCGATAGCACATTTTTGAGTTTGACAATATAATACATTACCTAAAATTATAAATAATCTTATTTTCAGATGCATTTTTGCCATCTCTGTTATTTCCTCTAAAAAAAATCCGACTTGTTTCCAATTTGTGCCTTCTGGCAAACTGCAGTTTTCTTGGCAAGAGATCTAGCTTGCCATTGCTTTAGTCATAGTTCTTTTTCTTTCTTTCTTTCTCTCCCCCTTCTCTATCATTTGTTTCCCTTTTTTCCCTCTCTCATTCTCTCCTTCCAGCTCTCTCTCATTTCTCTCTTTCTTCCCCTTTTCTCTCTCAATTGTTTCTCATTTTCCTCTCTCATTCGCTTTATCTATCATTTTTCCCTTCTTTCTCTAATTTTTTTTCCTTTTCCTCCCTCTCTTCTCTCCCCTTCTCTCTCATTTATTTCCCTTTTCCCTCTCTCATTCTCTCCCTCCAACTCTCTCATTTCTCTCTTCCTTTCCCTTTCCCTTCTCTCTCTCTCTCATTTGTTTCTCTCTTTCCTGTCTCTCATTCTCTCCCTCATTTTCTCATTTCTCTCTCTCTCCTTCTCTCTCTCTCTCTCTCCTTTTCTCACTCTCATCTCTCATGCTCGCACACACAAGCAGGATATCCTCCTGGGCCAGAATCACAGCAGCGGTGATGATGGTGACTCCTCCTCCCACTGCTGCCAGTGCATGCTCAGGTGAGCAGCGGACTGCACAGGAGAACTGGAGCTCTTCCCTCCCTCGGTCCTGCAGCGGTGGCTGACCGTCCTCATTCTCCTCCTTCCTGAGATGACACAAAGGGGACCGCAGCTGGCTTTGAGCTGTCTATGAAGGACACAGAATCACAAAAAGTAGCCGGTCGCAGGCAGTGTGGAGAAAAGGCTTGTGGCGCTTCAGCCACACAACTCTGCGGACAGACTTGTGCCTTCTCAGGAAGAAGAGGTCATGTGATGAGTCAGAGTCTCAGGGCGGAGAGAGGTCACACTACCGGGTCGGCAGAGAGGCACAAGAGAGGGGTCAAAGAGCCGCATGCAGCTCTGGAATTGCAGATTGCTGACACCAGTCCTAGTCTAACATAGCTAGAAGTCAGGGTTCATGCTGAGGCTAGCAGAGCTATAGTAAACTGAATCAAGCTATCTTCAAAATTATAGATGATTTCATCTCCATCTTAATATTAACCTGAATTAAAATATGGGCCTAATACTATAATAGCTAACTAAAATCAAGCCACTAGAAGAATCATGTACAATCTCAAAGATTCAATAAATAATTATCACTTCTATAGCCATGTAATTGTTTATCATAAGCTAATCAACTCAGGCATGGCAGGGAAGTAGGACTTCCTGTTCAGTTTATTTATTTATTTAGTGCATGGCATATTACACATGGACTAGCAATACAAATTAACATTTCAAATATATTAGTAAAACCCACTGGGATCTGAGAGGGTTAACTACCGGTTCAATGATTTACGAGGTTCGGTGATTTATGATGTGCTTCCCTGCACTCTGCGCGCGCACCTATAAATCGTCATCAGCTTAGTGCCTGGACATCTGAGCAGCGCTGCACGCCAAGAAGCAGCATTTGAAAAAGTACTTTTTTCCTGCTTTTTAAAATGCAGCTGTGCCTCGCTCGGCAGCTGAAGTTGAAAAAGCAGGAAATAAAGGTCAGGTAAGAGCCCAAGCAGGTGGGTGGGCAAAAACATCAGCAGACATAGAACCAGTTCTATGTTTGCTGTCTTCAGAGCTACTGGTTCTACAGAAGTGGACAGAACCGATAGAAACCCACCCCAGAATTGGTAAAACCCCAAAAATATAAATGTCAAAAAGATGTATATTCAAATATCAATGTCTAGGTATCAATATCTAACAATTGAAGTGCAGTATTGTTTATATTAAAAAAAAAAAAGATACCGGACTGGTAAATGCCCTCAGCTTACAGTGGTCATGATGCGATCTACAGTTTGACATGGGATCCCAGAGTCATCAGCCCAAAGGTTGGTAAACTCCTGTTCAGTCCATTCAAGGTGATTAATGGCCTTTGATGGGCTTCAAAGGCATTTAGGGATTTTTCCTGGGTAGCTGGTGGGCAGTTCTACCAGAAACTTTAAACTTCACCCTGGAATGGTGTCTTGAATCAGATTGTGCTCATATGGCCTTACCGTGTTCATCAATCCCATGGGGCTTTCTGGATTTCTGAAAGGCTTAGGAAATGAAACTACAAAAGAGATGTCTGGATCATCACTGGAAGATGATGAAGAACAAAACCACCCAGAAGTGTAAACCCCCCCACCACATTTAAGGATTACATTGTGGCAATAAGAATAGCTAAGCAAGACACTCCACTAGTGAGGAGTTACAGACATAATCTTTCTCCTCCGACTGGAATTGACTTCTAAGGGAAAAGGTGAATTCCTGGAGGATAGTGCTTTCAATTTCTGACTCCCATAGCCAGTTCAGAAGGCTACTGTGGTCAACAGTATCAAAAGCGAAAGTTCAAGGAACATTAAGATGGATGCACCACCTCCATCCTTGTTTTGAAAAAGGTCTCTAACCAATGCTGTCTCTGTACTGAAGCCAGACTGAAACAGATGTATATTATTTGTTTTCTCCAAGATCCTCTATAATAGCAGTATCAAACTCGTGTCATCATGGCATCATCACATGATGTATAGCGACTTTTTCCCCCTTCGCTAAACTGGGTGTGGGTGTCATGCATCCAGTTTGACAGCCCTGCTCTATAACTATTATTCAATCACCTTTTCACAACGTTCACCAGAAAGATTGGAAACTGACTAATAATGCTCCAACAGGAAGAGATCCAGTCATGACCTCTTGAGGAGGGGGCATACCTCCACCTCCTTCAAGTCTGGTGGGATCATCACTTGTCTCAGGGCCAAAAGGACGGAATAAATCCATTTCATGGTTACTTTCTGCCTGTTTTAATAACCGAGGTGTGGCCAAATCTAATAAACAGGTAGCTGGAATGACAAAGGATCTTTTCCATTTCCTTGGACATAACACAATCATACTCAGTCCAGTTAATATCCCTATTCCTTGGCAACTCAATAGGACTTAACCAATCAGATTCCAACCTTTGAGAAAATATGAGGAACTCTTCTAGATAGCAATATTCATCAGCACAGTCCTGGAAATATTCCTATGGCCCCCTAGAGTGGTTCTTCCTGAACAGGGCTGCTGAGCAGCTATAGAGAGATGCAATAAGAGTGGAAAAATAGTAATGTTTTGCCATCTTTATTGCCATGATATAGTTCTTAATATGAACTCTCACGTGTACTTAGTCAGATTCACTCTTTGTCTTTCCGTAATACTGCTCCAGACATTGTTTCTGGTGTTTCATCTCTTGGAACTCCAGAAAACTAAAGAGTACCCCAAGATCAGCACACAGAGGAAGGATGCATAGGAGCAATCCAGTCCAGGGCCTCCCCTGTATGCCAATCGAGGCTGCTGCCAAGGTCACTGCTGCAGTGCTGACATATGAACATCACCAGTATGAGCTCCTTTAAACTATTACATTTCTAAAATATTGAGCCTTGAGCATAATAACCCAATTTAGACCAGTTCTACATTAAAGCTACAGTAATTCATGTAGTAATTCTCAGCTGAGGTAATAGCTGACAATACATAGTTTCCTTATCTTCCTTGATTTAATTCTTACTGGAGTTAAATCTATTATCTTCCCTTGCAGTATTTACTTTTTTGTGTGTACTGTTAGAAATTATCAGAATGAAGCAGATAGAAAGACACAATAGAATCTCCGCCTAAAATAAAGAGAATGCCATCCAAGGATCCTGAAGCAACAATGTGATTTCTGAGGTGAAAGCTTCCTTGTATTTCCATCAACTATCATTGTTGACATTAAACAATATTGGATTATTTGGTAAACAATACATATGCTGAGTTTGTAAAATTCTGGTTCTTCAAGGTCTGTCAGGTTCTTCTCTGTTTGAAAAATACAAGATAATGCCATAATAAAAACCTGATAGAGGATTCTTGACACTCTCCAAAGCACATCCCACTTTCAATTCCTATATATAATAATATATATAAAACTTAGAGATAAATGGGAATTAGCATATACTGGCTAATACCATCTACAGCAGGAATAACTAAAGCAGTTATTCTTTCTACATAGCCAATATTTAAGGTAACATACAAAAATAATTGTTGTATATCCTATACAAGCAATTTTCTTTCATTGCTAATGGATTATTTCACTACCAGATATAATTTCACAAAGAAGCAAATTAAGACTTAAATGAAATCTTATGTAAATGCTGAAAATATAGTTCTAGTAGCTAACGGTATGTCTATTCATCATTGAACAAATAAGTAACCCCCTAATAAATTACAATTCTGCAATTTTTCAGTGATATTAGTATATACAGAACATACTGTACAGATAATACATGATTTTGTGCTGTTCTTTAAGACCACTTTCCAGAATAAATGGCACATTTTTGTGACACCTCCTCTGCAAAAGGTGCATTGGCTACCAGTAGGCTTATGGGTGCTATTCAAATGGTTTCTTCTTATATACAAAGTCCCTTAACATAAGGCCTAGTTATCTGAGGGAACATTATTCTCCCATTATTTCTGACTATTCTAAAAATCAGACTCAGCATTGAGTCTCATTCAAGAAGCAATATCATTTTATGGAAGATGGGAGAAGTTGGTTGCATCATGGCACCTGCATTTGAATCAACATCCCCCAAATTTAATGTACATTTCCCCTTAAACGTATCTTGAAACTGTGTCTTTTATCAAGCTTTGAGCTAAAGTAGAATTTTGTAATGGCACATGGGAAAGACTCTGGAAGGCAGGGGGAAGACCCATATCCAGGGCCAATGGTCAGATAAGTGGCTTAGCTAGAAGAAAGAACATGGCTTTGGCAAATATCTCAAATATTTTTTCATAGTTTCTTGGGCTTAAAAGTAACAGGGGATAAATGTTACTTTCAAATTGGTGACAATCTGTTAATGTATTCTTACAATATAGCAATGTAGTACTTTTGGTTGTGCTTCTTGTCTGGACTACCTCACAATACTGACAGATGTGGGTTCCATCTGTAAAAGCTTTTAAAGAACATTTGTTCTATTTCATATTTGGTATTGTTTGTTAGAATCATCTCAAGGAGTTTCAGGGGCCTTAGAATGAGTTATAAATAAATATAAATTACAAACTCAATGAAGAACCAGAAGCCAGTCTTTGGACACAGTCAGACCTAAATAAAATAATTGGGGTCAACAGCCAGAGAGAAATTGTATTCACAAGATGCAGCTATTATCATACTCAATACACAAGAGTGCTAGATTACAACAGAATTGGATTGTTTAGAGAATGCTGTGGGAAACCTACCCATTACTTAACATGCTGTATAAAATAGATCAGTATATGTTAAGTCCTAATATGATTTACTGGGTTGGACGGAGCATACTATGTAAAAGCTACTGTTCATTAACCCAGGCTTGGGGCTTAAGCATAGTGTGCATGTAGCTAGTGAATCACAAACTAGCTAGTATTTGTTGAAAGCCGGTCTGTTATTAGTTTATAATTCAAAAGGGTGTCTTGTGAAAATGAAGTCCGAGCAAATAAGCGTTCCCCTTTCTGGGTATAAGGAAGCTAGAAATGAAAGCTTGAATTCTAGTACTTCCTCCTCCTTTTCACTCTGATATTCATGTTTCATATATTTAAATTAATCGCCAGGGGAGGAATACTATTCAGTTTTTAGATTATATGTTTTTGGCAAAGGCGAATTCAGGATGAATAGGAACAAAAATACTGCCAATGAGAAAGGAAGACGGAGGAGGAAACCAAAGGATGAATAAAGCCTTCCCAAACTAGCCTCATTTCCTAGCTCAGAAAGGACGGCGATTCATTCCCCCCACCCCCCGTTGTTAAAACTAACATGGGCGACAACGACGACAGGTCGCGCGCAGGTTAATAAGGCACCTGCTGAACCCTCCTTGCCATCTCCGCCAACGCCATCCTGACGCCAGCTGTTTGCCAACCGACTCCCTGCTAAGGCTGAGGCCAAACCCTGCCAGGAGCCGAGCCGAGGACGCAGGAGGAATCCGTTACCGGCCCCTGCAGTGAGGCAGAGACTCACCGTGAAAGGGTGGCCGTCGTTGTTCCCCACGGAGAAGCAGTTGTCCCCGGGGTTGACAGCCCCCGTCAACACCTGGTGCAGGTTCATAGTGGAACCGTCCTTTCCAGCTCCAGGCCGGCCGGCCGGCCAAGCAGCCGCCTGAGCCCACCGCCGAGGCTCTGTGAGCTGTTCGGCCGCAGATCAGACTCTCAGGAGGAGGAGGTGACGGACACACATAGTGTGGGGCGGACCACCTCAGAGGCGCCTCCCCGCCATGGGCAGACCAAGAGCTTCTCTCGGGCTAACCACGCACGCGAGCTCCCCTTCCGCCTCAAGACGCCTTCCTCCGGCGGCCTCAGTCCGAGAGAATGAGCATCATGCAGGAAAACATCGCGAGATCAATTAAGCAATGACGTCTCTCCCTCAACCGACGAACATTTTTTGTTTTCCCTTTAACATAACAGAACTAGGTTGGTGTTGGACACACGCATGCGCTCTTTTAAAAAACGGGGAGATTGCGGCGATATTTTACGACAGCTCTCGGTAAAGGTGGCAAGAAAGCTTTGTTGCATCTGCGTTGAAACGTTTGTACTTTTAGGATGAACGAACGTCAGCTTAAGGCGTGTGAAGCGGATAAAATGTATGTGACAATAGCAGTGCTAGTTTAGTTCCGTGCAGCGTGAGAACTATTAAATTTCGATAAAGTTAGAATGTTCAGATCAAAGGACCCAGGAAGACATGTGAGAACAAATGGGATATTCCTATATTCAGTCCTATAGGTATTTACTTAGAAATAAGCCCCACTGAATTCAGGAGCTTATTTTTGCAGGTATATAGGGTGTTCAGTTAGTTGGGGTTGGCAAGGGGGTTAAATAAAGCAGGGGTCTCCAACCTTGGCAACTTTAAGACTTGTGGACTTCAACTCCCAGAATTCCCCATTCAACTACGCCTGTTCGGTTTTTTTTTTTCTCCTCCCTAGAGTGGAGAGATTGCAGAGGAAAGGATTACAAGAGAATAAGCAGGCATAGAATTGAAGTATAACGAAGCTTGCTGAGGAATTCTGGGAGTTGAAGTCCACCGGTCATAAAGTTGCCAAGGTTGGAGACACCTAATATAAAGTCTTCTACAACATTACTGAAAAACTAAGTAGGTGAGAACTAGTCGGATTCTCAGTGCTGTTCTAAGTTTCTGTTTAGGTATTGACTTTGGACTCTCAACCCAACCCATCTCAGGGTTATTGTGGGGAAAACATGAAGGAGTATTAAATATATTCATCACCTTGAGTCAGTTTATAAACAAATGTGGGATAAAAAATAAACTATACTTCAAATGCTAAAATAAAATTGAAATACTTTCTCATTTTATTTAGAACCATGTTATACGTGTGGGCTGTCCATTTTTTCCAGCTAACCAACCACTTTAATAATTACATGAGCTGATGTTTGACATATTCAAGGACTATTAAGTTGATAAAAGCTGGTCTATATAGTGATGAAAGAGGTAGATGTGGTAAGGAATATCTATGGTGTCTGAATTTTTAAGCTACAAGTATCTGTGCATCCTAAATGTGATTCACATATAGTTCATGGTGGGATTCACATATAAATAGTAAGCAACTAAAAGATTACAATTATGGTTACAATTCCAGATAATAAACTCTCCACTTTTACACAATTTACTACAGTAAGGCTATGTTTACACAGCAATGTAATCCATGGTTTTAACCTTAATGTATATAGCCAGTTGGCTTGGTTCATAACAGTCATAAGTCATAAACCTGGATTAAAAAGCCGAAGTTTAGGTCACCATATCTTACTAAGACATAAAAAGGAAACCACATCTTTAAGTGAGGTACATAACTCCAAATTTATTTTATTTAATGATATAAATCTAGAAATTTTGTACTGTGCATATTGAGCAGTTCTATTTAGGGAGCTTCAGAAAAAGAAATTTATGGATAAATAAAATTAAACTATGCCTTTTAATCTCCAGAACAGTATTGTGTTCGATTTCAGGACTTCTACAAAATTGTGGATTTTAGATATTAAGAGAAATTTGAGTTCAACTCTTTAGAGTTCCTCTACAAAAAGTGCTTTGGAAAATGTGGAGGAATGACTTTAGTATCTACCTGCCATACCTTCAGATAGATGCAACTTTTCTCAAAATTATGCTGTAGTTGTGGAACTGATGCTTTAAAAAAGCATAACCTGCTTTAAGATGTATACAGGTGCTGTGTGCTTCATATATCAAAAATACATTTTTGCATTTGCATCTTAGGTGTTGCACAACCAATCTTGAGGATTTATGGAATATTCACTACAGTAGGAACAGGGCTTATATGTGTTTGTTTTTTTTTAATCTTATGCTACTTGGCAAATCATTTTGATTGTCCCATAAACGTGCATAAGATTCAAACTTCATTCACAAAGTGTTAATACAGTTTTTCCAAGCCTGGCACACAGTAAACTTGTTGGGACCTACCCAGTGTCTGAGAGTTTGGGGAGTAGTAAGTCCTAGATGTTATGTCTGCAAAAAAACAAGGCACCACAAACCATCCAGCAGTTTCACATACTGTGTAACCGAACATTCCATGATCACCTTATAGTTATTTAAATTAAATCAAATGATTCGAGTAAACCATTCTGAGTAGTATCAAAGATTTGAAAGTAAATTGGGAAAATCAGTTTTAAAGGGGCTGCTCTGTTGGTACAGATTACAAGACTTTTATCTGTAAACACGCTTTCCTGGAATTAAACCCTTCTAACTACGTGAAGTATTGGCAAATAAACTTGATACTAAACAATACCGAACCGCACCCGCACTGCTCCACGTCACACGAAACGAAGGAGACTTTCCAACCGAGCCCTCTTGCGGCCAATGAAACACCGCTTTTTTGAATCTGTTGTGGATGCCAGGAAAGGGGGAGGTGGATATTTTAACCACGTGTCCAAGCTTTGCTTTTCGGGCTTCAGTTTCAGAGCCGGTCTTTCTTCACGTGATCTTAGAGATACACATCAGGAAACAGAGGTGGACCGGGCTGCCCTTTTTGGCTGTTTAAGAGTTTCAAGGCAGTCTTCCTCAGCTCTGTTTGCAGACGCCAGGGATTACAGCTGGCCCGTTTTGCACATAAAGCGGTTGAGTTCTGGAGTTACTCTTTGTGGCAGCCATGGAAAAGGGGCCGTGGTCGGTTGACGCGGCGGGGAACGGAGAGGAGCAGCGGCAGTTTACAAGTCATGCACCTGATAATGCAACTAAGGAAGGCGAGGAGTGCTGCGAAGGTCTCTGGGAGCTGCCCGTGGAGCTTAGCACGCGAAGACCCGAATGCGACCGCTGCGGGTGAGTGGACTAGCAAAGCCGCCTGTTGCCCTGTTCCATGAACGGTCACGTGTCGCTGAGTTTCTTCCCCCCTCCCTTTGGTATTTCCCGCCCTCTGCTGGCTAAGAGGTCGCAATGCACTTGTTCCGCCCGGTCTCTGCTTGTTTTGTTTTTTTACTTCCTTTGCAAAACAAGGCTATTTCTCTGGGCTTTGTTCTCACCTTCTCTTAAGGTGTATCCATGGCCAAGCTAACCACAGTCCTCCACGTAACATAATATTGGCCAAACTCCACTCCGAACAGTACTTAATCACACGGGTTATGATCGTAATTCCAAAATACAGCCTCCTTGTCTTAGCGCCCTCCCAGGAGGACTTTGACTGTTGGACCCCTCCCGTTGTTTGAACGGGCCAAGGAATGTCAGCCTCTTATTTGCTTGGATTCTTCCTTTCGGAAGAGCTTTTCGAAATAAGTTTACAGGAGGCACTAAACTCTAAAGGCTCCGTTTAGGCTAAAATTAGATGATTAGATTATGGTTTGTCAGCTAGATGACACCTGGTTGATATTGAAAATCTAAGGAAGGGTCGGGTAATGTGTATGCGTGGATGGGAGACTACCAGGAAATTCCATATTTGTGGGCTACATTGTTATGTTAAAAAATAAAAAAAATATTCTCGACAAACTATTTGAAATGAGTAGGTGAAGTTACCAGAGGATAAGCTCAATTTGAAGGAGGTTTTATAAGTTACCTCATTTGTTCGTTTTGTCATGTAAATATAGCTAGCTTTATCTGTGGAAACATTTGATTGATGAGAAAGGGAGAAATCAGATAATTTATTTCCTTATTTAGTCCATCTTTGTGTGTGTGTGTGTGTGAAGGAATATTGAGTAATTTGTAGCACTATTTAGACTTCATAAAAATTCATCTCCCACAATTGCCTAAAGCTATACCGAACATCATTCTAAGTAGACTGCAATGTGATATGGTCTAGTATAAACTCATCCATTATGTGTTGTAAGCCACTGATTGTTTTAGGGGGCAAACACAGTCATGCTTAAAATCATATGGTGTAGCATAATGTGAGAATGTTTTCTCATCCCTAAGCCATGTGATTTTAAGCATGGCTTTAAAAGCTAAATTTGCTTTTCTGCAACCTGCTATCTCCACATTTGTTTGGAGCTGAGTGAGTTTATAGTTAACTTTCTTGAAAAGTATCTAGATGGGAAGGTGAGATTATGAGAATGTGAGCAGTAGTTATATGTAACAAGAAGATGCTACTTCAGCTATTCACTTGTTTATTTGTGCAGTCAAACTTTCTCAGGCTGACACACTGTTGGGAGTCTTTATAGCCTACCTAGAGATTAAGAATAAAGACACAGATATTTCCAGCTGCTTTTTTGGTATTACCACATAAATGTTCATTGTAGAATGAATAATTCAAGTAGGAATTTTATAGAATCCAATTTGCATAAAAATAAGTTTCCATGAAGGAAATACCTTGTAAAATTTTTTACAATTCATATGTTTGATTAAAGATTTAATCAAGCCATTTGCTTTTGAAGAAACAACTTTTGTTTCTTGAAGATAAACATGCATATCTCAAGTTAAGGTATCATAACTATCTAGAAATATGCATAGGGTTACTATAACAATATAATTTAAATGTTAACCGCTTTGGCTCATTTATGGCTCAACATGTTATGTATATTCAGGCAACTGAATTAATTTAGTCACATTTAAATTAACATGACTGCAGATACATTGGTGTCCAAAAGTCTGGCATTATGGGACTGGTTTTGTCCTGTTCAGGATTTATCAGATGTTATTTTGTGAGGTCCAAGCACTCAAGGAGCTTTACATCCTTTCAGAGGTATTTCCTTATCAGCTTTCTCAAAAATGACAGAATTTCTAATGTATTGCTTTCACTGGAAAAGTTTGGATACATTCAGAGATATATCTGCCTTGAA